ATCCAACTAGCCCACTCACGGTCCGATTTCAGATCCAACTGCAGAAGTTGGACCACTAGTCGTACCACAAGTCGGAACGTGAATGGCCTGCATAAAGAGATAAATCACACCAACTTATTCACAGAAGAATACAATCTAATTTTATGCTTCTGCAAACAAATACATACAAACATATGAAAATATATTATATTACAGACTGTTTCGCTAGACTATTTTAATTGATAAGGTGTCTGGTAATAATAATGTATAATATTTAAGGTGTTTGGTAATTCTAATGTATATTTAAGATGACTGGTAACCTCCGATAGGAGAAGGAACTAAAAGAAGAAGCTTATGGAATTTTGACAAAATCACTCGACTGACGTCTCGTGATTTAACTGTCAAAATTTAATTTGCGAAAATTGCCACCCAACAAAAATATTGCCGCAAAATTTTCTCTTATGATATTATATACGAAAAAGTAAGAATTTTATTATACAATATTATCACTCTTGACTAATGATTAATTACAATTTTGTTAAATTTGTTCATTTAGGCTTCCGATCTTCTGTCATGAAGTTTACGGTAGACAAACCACAAAGAGCTAATGTTTACAAACAGTTCACTTGTTTTAGAAAACAGAAAAAGCAATAGTAACTACCCTTCTGGAAGAGTTGATACCACATTTTTAAGGCAAGTCAGACTGTCAGAATGGGGTTGCATACGATACATGAGTAAGTACATGTAAGAAGTACTACATACTTTCTGCAGAGGTTGTAACAGCGTGACAAGTGAAAATTTCGTCTGCATTCCGTATAAGTGAGACGAACTTATACTGGTATGCAGAAAAAGAAAACTGCGATTAAGTAACACTTGACGCATGGGTAAGAATATGTTTCAATGACTACAGTGACATAGTAATTCTCATAAATGAAAGATAATTGCTGTTGAATACCGGGACAAAGTTACAGAACAGTGCTCCTTTTGTAGGCAATGGGTGAGATATATTTTTTTATCTATAATGATGTAATAATACCTATACTCAGCACGCGAGAATATGGGAAAGGATAGAATATCGTGAGATAATAGAGTGGTGACTATGCTCGCCAGACATGATTTATATTAAACGTTTTAACGTTGAACTAAAATGACTCAAAACACGTTTTAACGCAAATGTCGATAAAATTGAACCAGCTCCAATATCCACCCCAAACATTAGAAAAATCCATTAAAGTGTTGCACACCAAAAAAACTGTCTGGTTATTGTTCTGTAATATTTTTTTGTAACTTGAACTCTCTCTAATTAGAATTTTTTCTCGAATTCCAATAATAGTTGTGATTTAATTTTAATAACAGTTCATGAAAACCAAATGATAGAACTTAGATAAATAAATTCGTTTTAATACACCTATGTAAATACAAAACTGGTTTAGGTAATATAGAATAACTATACCTCAGAACTATTATTAATTTAATAAGAATTCTTGAAAATAGAGTAACATTACTATTTATACATAATAAATATTGAATTAATAAATGTTTTTATTAAATGTGATTTGAACAATCATACATAAATATAAATATTTTATTTTTAGACATATATAATTTACTGACTTGACATATGACTAAAATAGCAACGTGATTATTGCCTAAGAAATAGTTCTAATTATAATTCATAACAAAGTTCAATGTGAGCAGGTAGTCTTCACAAATACTGTTCATGTTACATGCTCATGTTACAAGGTTATATAAATAATAAATAAATAAGTAATTAAGAGAATCTTTAGTCTAGTGGGTTTTAAAATTCACATGATAGATTTTTTTTTCCAAAATGTATGGTAATTTATAGTAAGAATCTTAGACATTGCCTAAGCAGTCAGAAAGCGCTACAATACGCAAACGAGGTACAAGGTGTTTTAAAAAGTTTATACAAGCAAATAGAGGGAAAATATTTTAGTGTTCATAAATTAGCCATTTAATCTGGCTGAAAATTGGGGTATCGCACATTAGAAATAAAAATACATATTCAGAGAGGAGTCAGACAAGGCAATACTATATCCCCAAAGGTTTTTACATTGACGCTAGAGGGCATTTTAAAACAGCTTAACTGGGAGAAAAGCGTCTAAATGCTTAAGGATGATATCCGATGTTCATGTCTGCTCTTTGTGGACGAGATTTTGATAATTATTAGTAATAAACTCAACCAGCTACAAGAACTGTTTTCAGAGTTAAGAAATACTCCAGAAAGAATAGGATTGAAAATGAATCTAACAAAGACCAAGATTCTTATTTTGAAGGAAGTACCAGATACTGTGGGGGACGAAGTGATAGACAGGATGGAAGAACATATTTACTTAGGTCATTAATAAAGTTGAGCAGAGAAAAACAACACTCAGAAGTAGACCAAAGAATCAACATGAGATGATGGTTGCCATTGGTAAACTTAGAATCGTTCTTAAGCGAAACCACTTATGCTGGGAATAACTTTAAAAGATTGTGTCTGCAATAAAGAAATTACAATGACAAGATGTTATAATGCTACTACTTCATTTAAGTGGTCTTGGATAAGACATATCGCCAGACAAGATAATACCAGGTGGATTAAACACATCTTACAGTGGAGACCTAGAGAGGTGTGGGTTGTCTTCCAAAAAGATGGCTGGATAGTGAGAAAGAAAAGGTGGAAGACATGGCCGAGGTGGCAAGAGAAATTAATGGAATGTCAGGTAGCTTAACATCCAGGAGTGGACACTCAAGGCCTGTTAAAAGAAGAAGAATAAAGGTAGCAAGTTGTTTATTTATTTATTTTTTAAATACCCAAGCATCTTGTAATTAGTATAATATGTACTTAAGTAATTAACATTTACACAGAAAATATATACACTAAAATGTGAACCTAAGTAATAATCTCCTTTCTTTACGATAAAAACTGTAATTTTACAGAGAAACAGAGAATGTAATGTTCTACTCTGTTAAACATTTAAAGTAATGTATTTACTGTATTTCAAATCATAATGAAATCTCAAATCATAATTTGATTTAAGACTTTTTCCACAACCTTTTCCCTTGTGGAAACCCATTCCACAACACTTTATTCTTATAAAGAACGAAGCATGGTATTGATGGGTTTGTTTTTTTATTATAGTGAACATTTTCCAGCAGACCTACTGTAACACTTTCCACATAAAACTGAAAATTTAATAATTTTTCAGCAATAAATATTTTGATAACTTATGAAATGAAGAATTTGATGGAAACGGTAGAAGATTCAAGGAGAATACCAGCAATGGTTATCTAACTAACAAATTACAAAGTTGCTTGAGTAATAAAATAAAAACAAAGCAGTTGTGATAAGGACAAACATAATGTTGGTAATAATATGGATAAAAACCATTATGGCGGAAGAAAAGCATTATTAACCATAGTGAAAATGAATATTGCTATGTTCCTAATGCTCTGTAGTCTTTTAAGACTGAAAACATGTGACTCATTAAGAAATCGTTGCTTAGTTAAGTATTTTAAAAATGGTTAAAAATATTTTAATAGCCAGGTATTTTCTCCCACTTTAGATAATTCACCCTATTAGGATGAACTAAAATAGTGACAAAGCCATATTTTAAAAGATAGTACTTATGTATTCACAACCAATTCAAAAAAATATCATGTTGAGGAGTCTAATTAAGTAAAAACAAGTTTTAAACTGACTCCACATCATTATGAGTTTAATCAAATGAGCTAAGTAATTTGTAAAGCTATAAAAAAAAATTAGACAAAAAAAAAACATCACTTTTAGGTTTGCAGATGTAAAAATTATTGTAATGAAGCAACAGAAACCATTACGACATTAACTAAGAAGAAAGTGAATTTATAACCTCTCAAAAAACTAAGAAAAATTAAGTAAATTTGATTTTATTATAAAATCAATTTTCAAACACTAATAAATTATAATACTTGGTATAGGTTTCATCAGAGGTACAGAATCAATATTTTATTCAGTTTTGATAATTCTTTGTTTTGCCTTTTAGTTTAAGAAAGTAGATAGTACTTACTTATATCTATTTTTTATTTTATTTGATTGAAATAAATTGGATCTTTGAATGATCACATTTATGTATAAATCCGTGGATAAGATAATATTAAGTATGTTATATTCAACTATAAGTATTTTCAAATTAACTCTGTGGTAAATTGGTACATTCTGATAAATAAATGCATTTAAGTTAAGCTTTATTTGTTTTATACCAGAGGAAGAAAATTTTAGTAAGATTACACGCATATGCTCGTCTATATTCCTTGCTATCACTGTCAGCAGAATTTCCAAAAATTATTAAAAGTTTAATAATTTCAAACACCTATATGAATTATGATATAAACGCGAAAATACTGAACAAATGAACATAAACAAAATTGCAGTATAACCTCAAATGAAAATGATAATCATTTTTGGAATTTAAATAATACTTAAATATTTTTTTGAATGTGGCAGTGTTTAGATCAATCACAATCAAACAGCAAGGCAACTTAATTCAAAAACGTGTCTCTAGTTTTTTAAATGGATATTAATATCTTAATTTCTATTACTCATACTTAAATAATTTAAATCATGTTCAATTCGATTTAAATACATACATTGGTACATAATAATGATTTCTTATTTCGACGATGATTGATATTCGATTTATAGAAATTGGTTTAATTCTTCATATTGAAGCTACTGTTAACAAGTATGATATTGGCTGCAGTACGGAACGGATACAGACCGATTTTAGAGAAAAATTACATTTTAATTTAAATAAATCAAAATGACCACCAGTAACCTCATCAGTACTTTATGCAGTTACTTAATTGAAATAAAAAATATAATAGTGGCAACTCTGTTTTTCATTTACACAATTTACAGTAAGTAATTAATACATGTGTTTTAACTACTACATTCTTAATGTTTTATTATTTAACCTATTTTAGTTATACAACTGTGATTTTGTGCGAAATTTCTAAATGGATATGTTTTTATTACTTACCAGTAAAATAGTTTTGAAATAAGACTAGCATTTTCTTCTGGTGATACCTTTACGTATTTTTTAGTTGAATCCATTTCAAACTTTTATGTACTTTTAAGTAAGAAAATATCACACACGTTTTTGACGGAAAGCAAAGTACATATTTGCCCCGGCCCTTTGGAATCCCGACGAACACGCCTATGAAAAGAACTAAGCCTAAAACTATAACTGTAAATACACTTTTCTCACTTTAAGATCACTTTTCAACAAGTATTTATTTCATAAAATCAAACATTTTATAACTTATAACACAGTCGGTGTTTTAATCAGCTAGTTATCACACTTATCACTTATCCACACTCTTTATAATCTGCAATCTATAATCTACAAACAAACAGCTAGCTCCAACGGTTCAACCATCGACATGTTCATGTTCTAAATAAAGAGTTGTGGTTATGTTTGTTTTAGCTAGTGATGGGATGCAACATCAGCGGCGTATCTCATAAACACGCAATGGGATTATTCGTAATAAATAGTAAAAAAGGCTAAAAGCTCGGGTTACGTTCTGAAATATTCCCATGAGATTTTTTAACATAACTACTTTCATCGTATACCTTAGAAGAAGGTTCAACAGGTCGCCGAGCGAAAAGTGGTCCTAATTTATTAAACAATTTTTTTTAACAAATTGTAAAAATCAAATATTTTTGTCCCGGACAAACAACGTTTTTAAGGGGTTGTGGATCATTCTTAACAAAAACAGTGGTACAGTAGGTGGTAGTGTAGACTGGCGCGATATTTCATAATATCGCTCATCGACTTAAATAGTGTTAACACAAAAAATAATTGAAAATGAGGTTCATAGATAAATAATATAATAGTAGAAATAGATAGGCAACTCAATGTATAAATTTCGTTCATTAGGACCCCTTGCGGTCCTAATGAACGATTTTTTCTAGATATACGTATATTTATTTGTTGTTTAAGATAAAACAGTTATAAAATAATTACATAATATTTATTACACATATTTGCAGAAGTTAAATACTATTTTTTTGCTTCCTGACAACTTACTATCATCCTTTTTGTAATTTTTCCATGATTTGTACACAATGAACAATACCAACAATACCATGTCACAGAATGTGACCATGTTTAGTTTTGTTACTAGCACAACACAAAAATTTTTTGCTACAATAGGTAACTCAAAATAAACTTTAAAAATTAAGTAACCAAATTTAAATTAAAATTACTAAGAATAAATGCAAACGAAAGTTAAAGATAATAAAATAAAATTGAAAACTTGTAAACAAACGGAAGATCTATCATTACTTTGGATTGACAGAATTGACATTGCTTCGTTTGATTATTTTATTTGGTTTATAATTGGTTAAAGTCTTCGTGAGGGAGATAGGCTGTCATTTCTCTTTATTAACTCGCTGGGGTTAAAGTGATGGGGAATGAACCAAGTCATTCATATAAGATTCCAGGCCATGATGAGGTTTTTGTTGCAAATGACTTTAAAAATCGGTATCTTCGAACAGCATTAACGTTGTAACTGTAGTGTCACAAATAACCACCTGGAGCGCATTGTGTCGTTATGGCCTCGAGCATTTTCTGTTGAAACCCAGTCTGCTAAACTGCCACAAGCTAGTTTGTCCGTCACCACCGACAAAAGTGAAGATACACACGGAGAGTGAAATAGTACCATAACCCTGCTGTCCGTTAATGGTAAGCTGTTTTCTTTAATAAATATTGCCTTATTATGTAATGATGCGTTATTGATATGGTGTTAGTATCAATAAAAATACACGAAATGAAACATTAATATTGCCTTAAGTTTGTTACGGCACTGTTGTGGTCCGAATTATTGCAAAAAATGGTAAGTTTTTTTTTAAACAGTGTCATATTTTATGGTATGGCACTGTTGTAGACTGATGTGATTGGATTCTATGTAGCAAGGTTGCTACAATAGTATTAACAGTTGTGTTGTGACATTATTTATGATCAATTTTGGTAATTAATTTGATAATAACTGCCTCAACAGGGTGATGTGACTTTATCATTGTTTGTAAAAACCAGACTATTATTACTTATTCTACCTTGACATAGAATTATTTTATTGTTTTTTTTTTCAGATTGTGTATGTGGTTTTGACATCTACTTGGTGCTTGGAGTAGCCTAGCAGATCAATTCCTATTTTTTAGAGATGCATCAGCATAAACCTATAACCATACCGATGAACTCAAGGGGTGCATTAATGCTTAAACTATCGAGAAAAGACGCAGCTGCTGCCTACGAAATAGTGAAACAGAAAAAAGACAACCCACCACTTTCCCCTTCAAGTAGGTCTGCAAGCAGCTAGTTAATCTACCTAGCCTTTCTTCTAATTTTGAGCTTGCTACACGTGCAAATGCTACAGAAATCTTTTTAGACCTAAGTGTATAACGTAATCATTAATTATTATGTTTTGATTCTAAGGGTTGAAAGTATCATCTCGATGAAGCAGGACCTGAATACATCCAGTGTCTAAAAAAACGTGGCTGTAACACAGCATTCTGAACCATTATTTCTTCTGCGATCAGGAGAGAGCCTAATTCAAGAGAACGCTAAGTACCTAACGAACCGTAACGAGACATACCTTAAATAGTCCTTTTGTAACCTATGCCAATTTGGAGAATGTAGCGCCCTTCCCTCAGAAAGATATATTCTGTCAAAGCGTGTGCCAACAAGATTGAAAGCCAATCATATTGATAAGTCTGAAAACAATGACTGTAACGAAACTATGGCTGTTATTCAATGTTATCTTAAGCCTTCCACATCATTTCTGGGGAAAGCATAGTTCAAGAGAACGATGAGTATCTGGCTAATCGTAATGAGACTGATATCTTAAATAGATCTTGTATAACTGATGATAGTTTGGAAAATGTTGAGTCTTACCCCCCTCAAAGTGTAATAATTTCAAAGGATGTACCAACAACTTCCCAAATTGAAGCCTATCGTATTGAAAAGTCTGATTTCAATAGTGACGACTCAGTGGCCGACCCTAATTATATTCCAGACAGTGAGATTGGTCAAAGAAGATCAACCACCGACCCTTCAGTCAAACTAATAATTGACTCTCCGGTTTTCGAACAGGAAGAAGCTGTACTGATGATATCTTCTGTCTCAAACAACTAATAGAAAAAAAATTAAGTACCAATCAAGAAACCCACCTTATATTTATTGACTTGCAGAAGGCGTACGATACAATTCCTGTAAACAAACTCTGGAATGTATCAGCGACTTTGTTTAAAATATATGTTGAAAAAGCGTTAAAAGAGTGGAAACAAAAATACAGAGGCATGGGCGTAGACCTTGGAGAGATTTGCTTGTATACATTGCAGTTTTCTGATGACCAGGATATTATAGCAAACGATAAAGATAATCTGGAGTACATGGCACGGAAATTACAAGAAGAATATAGAAAGTGGGGACTAGAAATTAATACAGAAAAAACAAAATAAATGCCAATAGGTACCGAACTATCGAACATCACATTAGAAAATAACGAAATCATCATGCCCTGCGACCATTACACATACTTAGGAATCGTTTTTGACACAACAAGGAAAGATGGATGAAAGAAATAAAGAGAAGCATAAACACAATCCAGAAAAACAATAGGTTGTCTAAACAGCGTACTGTGGAGTCATGAAATAGGAAAAAGAAGAAAACACAATATCTACGAATCTCTTATTAAAAGCAGTCTATTGTACTGAGCAGAAACTTGAAGATTAACCGAAAATAACAAAGATAACTGGAGGTAGTAGAAATGGACGCTTTTAGAAGATCAGTAGGAGTATCACGCAGAGAGAGAATACGTAATGATGAGATAAGACAGAGAATGGGGGTTGACGGCTCTCTAACAACAGACATAGAAAGAAAACAGCTGATATGGTACAGACACGTCCAGAGGATGGATAAACTCAAGACTCCCAAAAATAATTATGCAATGGGTACCACCAAACCGCAGAAAGGGTGGAAGACCAAGAAATCTTGGAGAGAAGGAGTAACGAAGGCGATGAGCGTAAGAGATCTTACAGAGGGCCACTGGGATGATAGAGTGTCATGGAAATTAGGCATCAGACAACGTTTGCAAGACGTATTAAAAACCGATTTATTATATATAATTTATATTTATATATATATTATATATATATATATATATATATATATATATATATATAAAAAAATTAATGTTTCTTGGGTTTAGGTTCAATAAAATATGTTACATGTGGAACTAGATCTTATTTTCCATTGCAATCAATCAACGTTTCGGCAGGAAACCCTTGCCTTTGTCAAGATTCTAAAATGTGTATATGTATAAGGACAAACAGATATTTTAAAAATATGTATATATATGACTTACCAAAACGTAAAACGTGACACAGACATTAACGAACTGACTATAAAACGAACTATAAAAGTTGATATCTGATATCTCATTGTTTACTGTCATTAGTATATAATTATTTTTATATGAGCGTATCGTTGATGTTTTCGAAAAAGGTAAGGTGGAGATATGTTATGACTTTAAGAGCGTTTTATGATGTTATATTATTATTGTTTAAATCAGATTGAAATATATTTTATTTAGGTTTTGTGTATCTTTTTTGTCATTTATTGCGTTGGTGTTTCTTTTTTATTTCTATTGATTCGTATACCTCCTCTTCTTTTTGTTTTTTTCTGTTTTTAAAATTCTGATGTTTTCAAAATCAAAATTTATGCTTCTTCCCGCTTTCATGTTTTGTGAGCGCAGTGACGTTGTTCTTGTCGTATTTGTGAGAACGAATTCTGGATTGAAGCAGTTGACTGGTTTGACCGATATAGACACCTTCACAGTTTGTACATGGTATCTCGTAAACAACATGTGATTTTTTAAGTTTTGGAGTTTGTGTTTTTAGTTTTGTGAAATATTTATTTAAGAGATTGTTGCCTTTGTGGGCCACTGTTATGTTATGTTTGGCTAAAAGATTGGTTAGTTGTTCAGTATAAACCTTTTATATATGGAAGAGTTGTATAAGTGGTTTTGATACTGTTGGGTTTGTTGTTAGTTGTATTGTTATAAAATTTATTGAGTCTTGATTTGAAATAGTTTCGATTAGATGTTCGGGATATTATGCATTCTTTAGGAGGGCATTTTTTGCTTTTTTTATTGCAGTTGGTCTGTATTCTGGATCTGTTAGTTTTATAGATTTATCAGCGAGACTTATAATTACAGACTTCTTATGGGAAAATGGATGATGGGAATGGTAGTTAAGATATCGTGAAGACCATGTTTCTTTTGTAAACCACATAGTTT